TGCGAGCTTGTCTTGGGCTGATGGTACTGAGAATAAGTTTTTTGTGATCCCTGGTAACATACCAAACATCATTGAGAGTAATCAATTGCTTGTGGCTTCCTAAATCTGTTTGTACATCAATGGTTCCTTTACCAATCGCTTCAATGGCTTGTCTGAGCTGTCGTTGCAGTATGTGATCGATCAAAATACTCAAAAGTCTTGAATACGTGTCTTAGGTTTGTAACGTGATTTGTAGCTTCATTGTCTACAAACCAGCTATTGTGATCCTTTTCAGCGGAGTTGATATTCAATACCACTACGTTCATGTTCACAGCTTCATTTAATTTCGTGTCAGATGTTGTTTTCGGCGGGCGTCCATTAGCTTTCCATTTTTGGCATTGTTTTACCCTATGGCCGATTTCACTACATAAATGACATTTATTTTTCTTTTTGTCATATTTAGTAATCCTCTTTGTTTTGGATGGACCTTGAAGAGTGAGTGCATCTCCGCAGTTCTCGGAACCTTTTGAATGCTCTTTCGTGAGAACATAGCTGACTGGTTAATCTCTCTATAGTCCTCTCTTTACTTGATAGTAGCAAACCAACTAGATTTAAAGGCGAAGAATTCTTCCGGTAAGGTATCCAATATCTTGCAAATGAGGAACATATCGGGTAAATCAGCAGTAGTTCCTTCCGACTTCTTTATTTCCATAGACAATTCTTGCCACATGTTCTTTAATTTTGACAAATGGGTCGCCATGTCGTCGTTTGGATCCTTCTTATATTCGAAAAACTTCATGCAGAGATCAGCTTTATCTTCTGTTACGCCGTCAAATAATCGGTGCCACTCTTGCCAAACTTCTCTTGCAGTAGAAAATCTCATTACCATCTAAAGATTTTTGATCTCATTATTGCTTAAAGCAGACATTTTATTTGTATTTTTATTCGTTCATTATTTGAAAACGAAAGGTACTGGCAATGTGTAACGTACCTTAATTTGTTAATAAAGAACAATGGGCAAAAAACACCCAGCTGCGCGAAAGATGTATGAAAAACTACCTTTTTTTATTATGACACCGTAAAAAAATATTGTGGTAGTCAAAAGATATGACACATAATAAATTTACTTTTGGGATCTACGTACTTTAAACGGATAATAATTCTATAATAGGCATGTTAAATTTTACAAAGTAAAATGGAGCTATACGGCATATTTAAGTAGCTAAACAAATTCATTTAATTGATTTGTTTTATATTATTAGTAACCATAATAATGTGCCATATCGTACTATACAACCGACAAAGCCTAGCGACCATCCTTCGCTTGCACTTCTTTAAATACCTCAAAACGGTTTACGGGGGTTGAAGGACTTTTATCTAACACGCTTTGGACATTGGAACACGATTATCAGTTTTGTTAGTTAGTATCGATGAACTGAACTCATGTTTTCTCCTATGCGTCGACAAGTTTGTGTGATTTGTGGTCGCTCCGTTTTACGTAGACAATTTACTATAATGAACAGACTGTTTAAAAAAAAGCCAACCCATGCGGGGATTTTTGGGTTTACTCTAGCACGGCAGAATAACACAAGGTAGTAGGCATACCTGAGTCCTCTATGTAGGGTTGAACTAACTAAATTAATTCCCTTGTTTCATTAATGTTCGCTCGTTATAGTACTTGTACCTATTTAACTTAAAATAACTAAATACCCCCCGGGATGGAATTTGATGCGCTTTGGGACAGATGATCACGACTTTAATACCTTTCAAACAAATGTAGTTTAAGCCGTGGCGGACGTAAGTGCTGCGTCCATACATTTTTGACCAATGTCCTTTTGCATGTTACTTTAGTTTTTAATTGAGAGAACATAATATTTTGTTGTACGGAGCCGAGAAAAAACTTATTTCGTTAATTGTTACAAGTCTTAACAAATTATCTATTGATTATTTAAGAATTTATAAAAAAAATCTATAGTGGTAGTAATCTTCACCTAAACTCTACATTTCTGAATTATTATTGTGCAATTGTATTGTTTATTGTACGAACTTTAATTGTACCCAAAACTACAATTAGTATTTTGCCTGAAATAAAAAATAATCAATGCAACAAATGCATTGCCTTTTTTAGTCTACTAGAGATGGCATGAGGCTTTGAACGTGTTTAGGTTTTAAACTTGAATTGGGATGTCGACTAACTTTTTTTCTCCGTCTATCAGGTAGAATATTTTCAAAAAGTATTGGTCACGTATTTTTATTTTTTTCACATAATCTAAATAATATTAAGATATATTAATTTGAAATATCGTATGACGTCACGTTTTGGTATAATTTTATTAAAAGTGATGCCACGAACCCCCACTCACAAACTTTGACCCGCTTTATCTTTGTAATTTTATGGTTAAATGACCAAATTAAAAATACGTGTCCATTAGTTTTTGTTAATCTAAGTGACGGAATAAATATAATTTCGTTTTTTTACCCCGTCGTCGTCACCCCTATTAAGAACTTTGGTGCAAGTGGGTCCCGAGTACTTTAATTTAATACCTATTTCCTTAAATTATGGTGAGAAAATTCACAATAAGGTCGAAATATCCAGAACTACATAGTATTAAAATTTCAAGTAGTTTTTATCTCGAATATAAAGACACCTTTGAACACAGAACACAGAAAAAGGTTAGAAGGATGCTCATAGACCGTTTGTACGGGAACCGATGTCGCCGGATCGCCCTGACTACATTTCCACATAATGGAATATAGCCAACCAAACGACGCGACATCAAACAATTGACCCAATCAGCGCTCACATCCGAGAGCAACGATGCAATCAGAACCAACTTTTGGTAAAGTTATGAGCATTAGCTCACACATAACTGTGGCGCGTCTGCCCTTCTAACCTCTTTCTGTGTTCTGTGCCTTTGAATATAAACCTCCTTCTGTTGTATAGGTAGCCAATAACTACTGCAAAAGCTATGTTAGTGTATAAACTTTGCCACCATTTAACATCAGGTAAAGTAAAGTTATTTTATTACTGCAAAGGACATTGGGCAAAAATGTATGGACGCTGCACCCACGTCCGCCACGGCTTAAACTACATTTGTTTGAAAGGTATTATAGTCGAGATCATCTGTGCCAAAGTGCATCAAATTCCATCCCGGGGGTCTTTAGTTATTTTAAGTTAAATATGTACAAGTACTATAACGAACGAACATTAATGAAACAAGGGAATTAATTTAGTTAGTTAGTTCGACCCTACATAGGGTGCTCAGGAATTATGTGAGTACTTCACAAGGTGCAAGGGTGCCCCATTACGTTATTCTGCCTGCTAGAGTAAATCCAAAAATCCCTGCTTAGGTTGGGGGTTTTTTAAGCATTCTGTTCGTTATAGTAAATTGTCTTCTATGTAAAATGGAGCTACCACAGATTACACAAACTTGTCCACGCTTCGGAGAACACATGATTCCAGTTCATCCATACTAATTGACAAAACCGATAATCTTGTTCCAATATCCAAAGCGTGTTGGATAAAAATCAATCAAGTAGCAGGGAGCGCACAATCACAACGAAGTAAGACAAGTCGACTATTTGCTTCTGCAAGTCCTTCATCATCCGTAAACCGTTTTGAAATGTCTCAATAACAGCAAGCGCAGGATGGTCGGCAGGCTTTGTCGTATATGTGGTTGTATAGTACGATATGGCATATTATTATGATTACTTATAATATAAAATAAAGGTACTATAAAATGAATTTATTCAGCTACTTAAATATGCCCATGTGTCATATCTATTGACTACCAGGATATTTTTTACGGTGTCATATCTTTTGACTCCCAGGATATTTATTTTCAGTGTCATAATAAAAAAGGCTAGTTTTTCATAGATCTATCGATTCATACTAATTACATTGGTGGCGGAGCTGGGTGCATTTTGCCCATTGTCCTTTTTAGCTCGAAGAAAAATATTATCACCTGCTTATTAAGGCAGATGGTATGCAAAATCGGGGTATTGTACAAGAGGAAGCAAATGTGTTAATAATACCTAATTCTGGCATTTCCTGGAACAGTTGGCAAGTTCCCGGCGCGTAACACACGTGGTTGTTTAGCAGTAAAAACGATATTTTTGAGATAATAAAATTGAAGTTATTTAAAATCATTTTTGAACTAAAGCCAAATATTTTACTAACATATTTTAACATATTTTATTTCTAACATATTTGATGCCTCAAGGGATCTAAAGCGCGTAAAGGTTGTATGTAAATATGCATTTTCATAATATATGTTTTGAGAAGAAAATGGTAGTCATCTACGAATAAGACAATTATTTTCCTTTAATACTAAAATAGGGAGGTTTCTAAATGATTACAAACTGCTAGTGCGAGCGGCGGAAAGTCGCAAACCAACGAACGACGACGAATGAGACACATTCGGTACTATAAAAATTACGTTTTCGTTGTAAGGACTTTTCATCAGGAGCGGATTTAAAAATGCTGGGGCCCGGGGCTGAAATTGATGCGAGGCCCATTTAAGGATATGAAAAAAACCCCAATTGTTCTAAATTCCGCTTTTATGCATAATGTGCAATAATGGGAATGTTAGATAATAAAACACGTTATGCCGGGCCCTGCGGAGCTCCCGCCATGCGCCAGTGCGGGATCCGGGACTCTAGCCCCCCCAAGCCCCTACGTAAATGTACTCCTGCTTTTCATGGTTGTATTTAAAATAGCCATTGTCTGCCTTAGGTTCTGCATTAATTGATTCAGATTTCACAGAATTTATTATTATCAACTATACTTTCCGATATACAATAGAAAGTAGACAAAAGGACAACTCACGCCATCATTAAAAATAATAACTTACTTACCGCTAAGCTTACCGCTATTGATTTTGAAAACACTCCTTCTTACCTAGGTCTTGTCCTTGCATATCCAACTCCACGTAGGACTCACCCAATCGCATCATTCTGGTGAATAGGTATTGTAACATGTTGCAGTAATTCTGAAAGTAGATGGTGATTGTGTTTCTTACCTAGGTCTAGCACGTCCTTGTGCATCCAACTCCACGTAGGGCACTCCTAGCCTCACCATTCTGGTAAAGAGGCTTTGTTCCATGTTGCAATATTTCTGGAAGGCCATATTCTTCACGACGGGCGGCAGCTGGTGGTGGTCTCCGATCATTATCCAGCGTTTCAGCCGCGAACGACCGTCCTGCGGGTTCTGCAGGAGCAACGGGATGAAGGTCTCGATTTCTAGGATCTGTGCCGACTCTTCCATAAGAATGTTGTCATATTTGAAACCTGTATTGAAGGATATTGTTTTAGTCTGATTGAAAGTTTATGACATTTGTGAAGGTAGCAGCGAGTGTAACTATGATTTAGGCAGGTTTCAGTTCAGTGACATTCCGTGCACGACTAAATCATCCTTCAATTCATTTACGGCGCCGCGACTTGCGCTAACTTCACATCCGATATTAAGTTTGAATCACACTTAAAACTCTAATATTTAAAATCCTCCGAAATAACATTGTATTTATATATTATTATAGATCAGAGTTCATTAGACCCACCCGGCACCCGACCAGCGTTGCCAGACGTCCCGATTTCTAAATCAAAATTAAATGTCCCGCGCGGGACATGCTCGATCCCGCTTTTCGGGAATAACTCGACAGTGCGTGCGTGTAGTGCGTAGCGTACTGAGAAAGCGCGGGCGGGTGGCACAGACAAGTGTGGACTGGCCAACTGTCCGGCGCATAATAAAGAACTCTCAAACAAAGACTCAACTATTTAACGATAGGGTTTAATGTGATTTAAAATATCATATTTTCTATGGATATTTGAGGAGTCCCACATACCTTCTTCTCGCTCTCCCAGTGGTTGAAGGATGCGTAAAGCATTTCCCAGACACAAAAAAAGGTACCTATCTATTGTCACGTAAACGTAATTTGAACTGAAATAAAAAGATAAATATTTAAAAACTTTTGAATAAATATATTTTTTACTATGTCCTAGACTGATGACTGACTGACTAAAGAATCCCGTTTTTTTTCACTCAAAATGTTCCTAAATCCCGACTTGGAAAAAAAAATCTGGCAACACTGCACCCGACCAGCACCGCCTCAATTCGTGTGCTTGATATAATTGGTATTGATTTCTATAGGTTCGCTCACTACATTAACTTTGTACCGTCACCGCGCACCGGTTCGCCTTGCCTAGTTGTAAACGCGCTGCTCCTGAGTGGACCGCGCGCTGTCTGCGAGCTGTCAACGCATTTCATTTACTTGAAAGTAACGTCAAGCACGACAGCTATTAGAGTTAATTCACGGCGTGTAAAATTAAACATTCTTAAAACACACGTGTAAACCTAGTAACGATCTCTAACACAATACTTAATTTTAGCTGAGAATGCGGAGTCAACTACGCTGCGGCGTGGCGTTATCCCGTCGACCACCTGGCGTTCACTGGTTGACAACGAGGAGTCCACCCATGGCCCACGCGACGTTAGCTGGTGGACAACTCAGCTTCCACCTGAATTTCTCGCCAACTAAGAGTGGAAGTCGCACGACGAGGCAGTGCAGGGTGGCTCTAATGATCTGTGACCTTTACTTGTAGCAAATATTATAACAACAATGTAATAACTCACCCATCTGTACCAGTTCTGATCGCTTGAGAGCCGCGTGTGTGCAAGTCATAGCTATGATCTTGGCCTCCTTCACTAACAAATACTTGGAACGATCCAATCCTGAGCGAAGCAGCTCAAACGCTCGGAATTCTTCGAGTTCTTCGAATATGTGGTCTATGTACCTGAGCAATAGTGTTGGATGAATTTGAAAAAGGGCACAAAAATAATTTTACCAAATATTATAAAAGGAACAATTAATTAAATTTCTGTTCTTCTTTAACATACAGTCAACAAATATTAAAAACTTTAATAAGAAAATATAGAAAGGTATGTAAGTTGTTTACCTGTAACAGCTCTTTGCTATCTCCATGTCTTCTTCGTATGATTTTCCAGGGAACAGCGGTTTAGGAGCATCGTCGAAAAATTCGTGAAACGGGAACTCCTTACTGACAGTGTCAACTGTTTTCGCCTATAAGAAATAAAGAGTTATAAAACACTGTCTTACGCTTATAAAACAAGGCAGGTACTAGTTTTGAAGAATATTTTTCCAATCAATGATTTATATATGACGATGCTTGATAGAGATCATTATTATACAGGTGGCACAAAAGTAATCACTAAGTTGGAAGATATCGGGTGTATTCCGATATATACACCAGTACGCTGACCAGCGGTAATGACGTCATAATTTATGATCTATATGGCGTCGAAATCATGACGTCATTACCGCTGGCCAGCGTACTGGTGTATATTTCGGAATACACCTATCATAATTATTTAAAATGGCGTCATACGTCATTTTGACATCTATCAATTAGACATATGCAGGCACAAACAGACAAACAATGTAGTACGATACTCCGCAGTAGCGTAAATGTGTGGTTCTAACAAAACGATGCAGTCGCACACTAAGCACGATTTCATTTTGGCCCTTCTATAAATATTTATAAATCTAAACCCGTAAATTAGTTTAGTGTATAAATAATTCTGAAAACTTTACGATCCACATTCCTGATTTTCTATTCATGATAATAATTCGGACAACTACTACTAAGTAACTCACCTGTACCAGCTCTTTTTTAAGCAGAGAGGTAGAAGAACTTTTTAAGAAGAACTACAGCAAAGAAAGCGTTCAAGATTCTGATTCATAGGGCTGTTGGGAGAAACTTCAGTCGGAAACAAGCAGTAGGTAAGTACTATTTTGAAGGATCTTCGTTCATTATTATTCTACCAATACCATAGTACCAAATTTGTTAGGAAATACTGACCTGATCGCGTGCACAACGATCTAAGAATGCTGCCCATCGCGGGCGCACGTGGTAAACATGAAAGTGGTGCGCGAGCTCACAGGTGGCGCCCGCGTCGCCTCCTGCCTCCAGTGTATTCTGCAGCCTGCCCACCTTCTCTAACAACTCTAATCTCTTGGCCAGGACGTAGTTGACACGACCGTACCTGATGGATTTGCAAGTATCGTCAATTGTTAACCATTTTAAGGAATTTAATTGTGGGTTACCTACAATGCGAAGAGATGGCGCTGCCCTGCAGCTTAAGGCTAGGAAAATTTCGACGCGGCTAATAGGGCCGTGGTAGCATAATGGTCAGTGCATTCGCCCGGATAGCGAAGGATGCGGGTTTGAGTCCCGTCCGCTGCCTGGTCCGCGTGGACTTTTTTCTAGTAAGCTTTTCTTTAGATTTAAACATTTTAAGGAATTTCAGAATTAAGGTGCGCGGTGGTACTGGGTCATCCACGAAGTAAGCGGGTTAGGGCTTCAAATTTCGAGTTCAAAGACTTTGGTAAGTTCAGGACAGCGGATAAGTGACCAAAGATTCATCTACATCATATCAGCCGAGAGACGCACTGCTGGACATAGGCCTCCCCCAAGGAATTCCAAACCGATCGGTCTTGCGCTTTCCGCACCCATCGACTTCTCGCGACCTTTACCGGATCGTCAGTGCACCCTGTGGGAGGCCTCCCGCCACACAAGGATCTTTGCGCTCCAAACCACCGAAGATTGAAAATATTGAACTGGCATTATAAATTATACTAAAATTTATTATCAATATCCTGCATACAATCCTGTAGGTGCCATTTTTGATTGATAAATTTTTAAGCGGTGACTATATAGTCACTATACAGTGACTTAATAACATTGGAACTTAGGTGTGGCGACGATGTCTGCGTCCAAACATACTGCTCATTGTCTGTTCAAGGATGATTGAAATAGAAAAATATAAGCATTATTCAATATCGACACGTATAACGTATACGTCATATTATAACTGCACCTTGCTTATGTTAATATTATAGCATATAATATGAATCAGGAAAAGGATCTAGAAGCTATATCTACCTTTCTCATTTAAATCACTCATTACACCGCAAAAAAAATAGAATATATATGCCTCTCAAATATGGAACTCATATTATAAAAATATAGTGAACAACTTAAAACGGTAAAAAACGTTACCTGGCTCAATGGAAGCCTAACAGCGCGGGAAAATCAGCAGAGGGGGAAGATGTGAATGCCTACTCCCCTCCCCTCCTGACCGCGTCGGCCGTGTCGCTCTATGGTCTCAAGATCGAAAACGGAATTAGTTATAGAACTGAAATTTTGGTATTTTATGTAGAATTGCCCAAACCCGAAAATAGGGTATTTGACAAGTTTTAGGCAACAATCTCACTTTATTGACTAATGTTTATGGAGTCCGTAAAAATGGATATTCATCATTCTGTTGTGTATTTCAGTAAAAATAACCAAATCAAAAACTCCATTTTAAAGTTGCCGCGAAAACGTTTCTTTGGACAATATGACGTCTTAATAATGTGAGACGTCACACGACTGTTATTAAAACGTCAAACGATACAATGTAATGTCACTTTAACCGGAAGTTTACTTGTGTGTGACGTCGTTTTAGGCTCCGCCAATCCATAGCGTTTTGGGTCACGTGACAATAGATAGGAAAACTATTATCTTTTTCGAAGGTTTTTAGTAAAATTATGAATATTTTTTTTTATAAAAATAATAAAAACATCTGCCAATTTTCAATCTAAACACAGATGCTAACAATTGGCACTTTATATTTAATACTGTCAAATACCCTATTTAGTTAAAAATCAATTAAAATATTATTAATGTATTTTTTACCTACATGAATCGAAGAAGATTTTTTACCGTTTTAATAATATTACTAATAATCATATTTCAGATAAACATCCATAGAATTAATAGTACAAGTTAGTAACAATGTCGGGCTTATCCTATGCCAGTATTATTAGTTGTACTTCGTTGAGTAGGATGTAAATATATTAATTATATTTTTTTATTTTCAACAACAAATATGATATACTTATATATTTTATAATAATAAAGAAAAGTAAAATTTTGGTTTCATTTGGGATAAGATCACAAACAGTATTTTATAACATGCAGTTAACATTTTCATAAATACAGAGATTACCATATGATCATCATGGAGACATCGAATCACCCCTGGGGGCCAATCGCCTAACGGAAATGCTTTGGAAAACGCTAACGCTTACGATTTTATTTTGTTATGTCTACCCGCCTGAGGTATTCAAATGCCTCGCGCTCTTTCTTTTTCTTTTGCATTGGTAATAACAATATTAAAAAAAATGAGCGTGAGGTATTCGAAAACCTCAGGCTGCTAGAAATTACAATATAAAATCGTAAGCGTTAGTGTTTCCCAAAGCATTTATGTTAGGCGATTGGCCCCCTGAGGCCGTTGTGTAAAAATAATAATTGGCCGGTAAACAATGTCACGTTTACGTCTGAACGATTCTCTATGAAAAAATAAGAATATGGTCCGCCTTTTGGTAAGGCCTACCAAAGCCTATAGACACATCCGATCACGGGCGTAGCCAGGTTTGAGTATCAGGGGGGGGGGGGGGGTTCAAGAAAATAAAATTACTGAAAGTGCATGCAATAACCTTTATATTAAGTAAATGAAAAATATGAAATATGTAAAAAAAAACGGCATAGCGCGAGTCGCGCACCAAGGGTTCCGTACAAACTCAATTTAATACTTCTACGCATTCATGAGAAAAGAGGTAGTAACTTTAAAATTTTCTAAAATATTTTTATTATATGATGTAACTAAAAATTTACTGTGTTCGCAATTTTTTCTTTATCTGTACTATAAGACGTTATTTCGTACCAAATTTCAAGATTCTAAGTTCACGGGAAGTACTCTGTAGGTTTTAATTCCCGTGCGAGATTCGAAAATTTGCGGCATAAACGGCTGTATCTTTTGATTGCTTTGGCTCAGAAGTTTGATTTTTCACAGCTCCAAGGGACAGTAGACATGAGTATTAGATATGAATTTCAGTTTGGTATCTCTACGCGTTCCTGAGAAAAACGGTCTTGACCGACGGACGGACGGGCGGACGGACAACAAAGTGATCCTATAAGGGTTCCGTTTTTCCCTTTTAAGGAACGGAACCCTAAAAAGAAACAGAAGGTTCAATTGATTACAGCAGAATTAATCTTCTGTTTTTCTTTTTAAATATATCCACTTCTTCATTCACATCAATTTCTATCCCATAGTAAATATTCATTCATCGAGAGCCAAGCAGTTCAGTCTGTTTTTACTGGTTGTGTTCCGCGAGTAGTTTTTAAGTCTCTTTAGGCTTGAAAACGTCCTTTCTGGTGTATCAGTGGAAACAGGTATGGTAGGCAATATTTGTACAACGTGTAAATATTTTTATATAATTTTTGATCGCACTTTTATAAGCATTCCAAAGCAGATTATGGAATAGGGGAGATGATAGTCACAACTGCTTTCCACACTTCAAGTTCTGATTTGACAACAGACGTACATCTTTCGGGTAATACTGCCGAAAGTGGGAGCCACTCGCGCTCCATAGTGTGGATGGGGATACATAACAATACCATGCCGATACGAAACGAAAATATACGAAGGTTACCGAATGCGATAGGATAAATGACAACGGGCAGCGGCGGGCGGTAGAGGGCGAATCCAAAATACATTATTAGTGTAAAGTGTAATAATTAGTAATTAAATAAATTATGCCGCTCGCCTTTCCTTATTTTGATATTATTGATGTTGATATCTTAACTTTTCGGGGGGGGGGGGGGGGGACCCCCAAAACCCTCCCCATGGCTACGCCCATGCATCCGATACAAAAGTGAATAGCGTGTCGCCAACCACCCAATTCCATCTCTGCAAACCTTACTCACCGACCGAAAAACCGCAATGTCCTACCTCTCTTATAACATAAATGGCTTCTAACACTACATTAAATAAAAATATTATTGTTAGGTATAAGTCGTATATGCTCTTAGTTCTTACCTGGAGAAGTCTTTATCGGTCTGTAGAGCTTCTTCCCCGTGTCCCAAACGTAGTAAGTGGCGTTCATCAACATCTAACTCAGCTACCTTTTCGAACAGTTGGTTGAGAGCTTGATTGCTGTGAGTCACTACCAGGGTCCGCTGGGACGGGAAGTTATGATACAAGTTAGATATTATCTGCACAGCTACGTCCGTTTTACCTGTACGAAAATTAAATATGGTTAGTTGAGATCCTTATCTTACATTGTTAGCATTTTATTATACAAAAGAGTTAAACAAAACGGTTCGGACACCTCATGACGATGAATGTGAACTAGCAAAATATTTGTTTCTTTCCTTCCAAACAAGAAAAACTTTGTGTTTCTGAAGATAATGAGTAGAGTATCCAGACAAAATACATAAATTTACGTAATTAATCAATTTATTAGTACAGTTTTATAAACACTTCTACGTTAGATTACAAAAAAAACTACTAGCGCTAAAAGTACAACGGCTCACAGTACTTTATCTTTCTATCAATAATGAAACACATAAAAACACGGAAATTTACGATGAGCAACGAAAAATTAGCGACAAGAAATCGCAACGTGTCACGACGCACGGCACGACGTCGCGTCGTTTATACCGTATGGTCTGTAGCCCTAGCACGCATCATTATCGAATTCGAATAGTTTGCGAGTACAAAATGTCAATGTCAAATTTTGTATGGGAACTTTATCAGCGCTACTAAGTATGTAACGAGAACTAAAAATCAGTACACATTTTACAATGACATTTTGCATCGTCGTATCGTGTTTTTGTGTAAAAGCCTGAGGATATCGTTCCGGATCGTTCTAAAGCGATTGATTTAGAACGTGTTTGCATTTGTTTTATCTACAAGGCTGCGAATTTGATACATAGACTTGAACAACATAGACTTGAAAACAGAATGCCAGAGCATTCGATAAAGTGAATCACGCTTATCAAGTATTTCAAATAATAAAACTATTTGGATTCTCTGGTGCTGTGTTTGATTGGTATAAGTCATATCTAACAAGGAGCTTCAATTAGTAACCATATAATTGTAAAGCGTTAGAAACCTATTACAACTTTGGTTTACCTCAGGATTGCACTTGGGACCCATACTCTTTTCTGTTTGTAATAAATATTTTCATTTTGCATTTAGTTTTTTTATTTGCTAATGATTAAAGGTTATGTACAACAAATGAATCGATTTATTTGAATTTTGGAATGAGACTAGAACACTGGCGTGAAAATAAAATTTAATGGGAGTAAAATAGAGCACACCAAGCCGCGGTCACCCATTATAGTCTGTCCATTATATTATTATCTTTTTGACAGATCGATCGAAGTAAAAATAGTGACACCCTATCACATAACTCATTCGATTTAAAGCTATAATCGATTTTATGCTAGAAAATTGTTTAATCGATTATAAGTATCGAAATTATTTTAGTTATCAAAAATACTGGTCTTTAATGGTTTATTACAAATGGTGCAGATGTATTTTTATACAGTTGATTGATTCTTCTATTATTGTAAGATTTTATAAAATTCTGTGTACAAAAAAAAATATTTTTTTGGTGCCAATAAATTATTATTATTATTATTAGTTTATTACAAAATCTCATTAGATTTATTATTTTACCTAGTACAAATATTTGTGTGATGAGCACGAGTATTTGTTCTGTGTCTGGGTGTTATTTATCTATAATATGTGTATATATATATATATAACAAAAAAGCAGTATACTTTTTATATGTTTGTCTATCTTAATACTAATACTCTGTACAATAGATTTATTGGTTATAGTTAATATTTCTTTTAAAACAAGGTTTATAAAAACTATATCTTTGACTTTTTTCCTTCAATTTGGTTGTACACATTTATTTCTACCGATTATTTGTAATTTGTGGCACAATCTTAGTAATCATTATGTGTGGCACATCACTAAGTGGGCGGTACCCGTTCATGAAGTACAATATTATTTGTATGACATTTTAACGTAAACAATACAAAATTTCATGGGCGTCGATCTGTCAAAAAGATAATAATAGAATGGACAGACTATAGTTTCTTTATAGTTAATGCGTTTTGAAGAATGACTACATCAATAACTTTTGCATTAATTAGTTAGTCATCGCATAAGAGATGACATGCACTTCTTAGGTATATAATAGTGATTTAATAATTACGACTATTAATTCTCTGAACTGATTGCCGCGTGGGTGAGGTTATTCAAACCCATCGATTGTAAGGTAACGATGAGTGATAGATAGGATAATTGATATTATGAACTGATATTATTGCGATTTCTGTGTGTGAAACTACATTTATTAAAGTATATTTGCTGTAAAATTAAAAAAAAACTAAATTAATTTAAAACTTATTGAAATTTCTTGATTTAATTTTAGACATTTAGACAGACTGAGTAACATTTTGTTTCTTGGTATTCTTAGTATGTTCATTCGAAAAGTTATGAGTTCTAGTTCCGCTAAAGGTGATTTGGGGCTTCCCAGATGTGTAAGCGCTTTCTTACTACATAATGTTTTACCTTCATGCCATAATTCTTTGAGATGGACTAAGCTTCCATTTTTCGTAGAGATATTTTTATCTGAAATGATGTCATGCTGTGAGTCTTATTCATACATGACGCAAAAGCGCTCGTTTTTCTGTGGTGTCCATTCATTCATAACCACGTGATAATGTTGAATGTTATCGTTGTAAAACCGATATTGAATGAAAATTAACTACCATAATCTGGCGCTCGCTGTGATCCCGTTGCTTGTGTGTGCCTTACTTTCCGTTTCTCCGAAGCGATCTTATTTTAACTGAAGTTGCTATTTCTTTTTTCGATTTTGTCTGTCTTGTTGAGCATATAGCGACATATAAGACACATAAACTACTTTTGCGGTAACTAGGGTTATCAATTTGTTAATATTGATTTCGTATTTACAGTGCAAATCTGTTAGAAAAAGTGGTCGCCAATTGGTGAGTTTTACCAACTAGTCCAGTCAATGAAAGTTTTCACCTCCGATTTCGTTGAATCTCCATCGATTTTCATGAAAATTGGTGAGCAGGTGGGGGATACCTTAAGAAAGAAAAGTGACATATTGCCAACTTGCGCTTTTGCCCTGGGGGTAGATGCCACCCCTTCTAGGGGGTGAAAATTATTTTAATAAAAACAACTCCAGGAATCGATAGTGAGATTCTGAGCAAAATTTGTTGTATAAAGTTTTTAGAATAAGTCAATACATTCTGAGTTATTAAAGATCAAAGGTTGGTAATTTTCGTGATAAAAATACATGGAATCAAAATCACCAAGGTGGTAAATCCACTTCGGCAGCAAATAAATGCCTAAATTCTGTATTTTTTTTAACATTTTAGCATTGGTAAACACTTAACTGTGTTTACTTTAACCACACATCACACAAAATAATTAAAAAGTCTTACATATTACATTTTATATGGACAAATAAGTACAAAAAATCATTTGGAGAACGCGTCCTAAGTAGCAATTCTTAAAAGCTAACACCAGAAATAGTCATAAAATAAAACATTTTTAACGGTTATTAATACCCATTCACCTTCAATTGTATCTAATATTACATTATTGAAAGCATTATTAAAGAAAAAAACGAATTTAAAAAATCTAAGTCTAAATATAATGTCCGACAATATAAGCATCATGTTAGTGAACGCAGCTTTGATTACGCAAAACAAAAAATTTCGAACGCATCCCTCTTTAGTCTATGGAACAGCTGTAGAGAGAGTTGTAAACAAAGTCGCTGTGAAGAAAGTAGTTCGCCAAATGAAATTAAAATAAGTGGTAAGTGGCTGTCAATTCATTATTTACAGAGCGTACATCAATAGGTCGTCAATTGGGGAACGCGTTTTCCAATCAAAATTATGCAATAATAGCTTTTATAGTGTTGTATAACAAATGTTATAATAAAATATTTTACATTAAGGAAGCAAGAATTGCTGTCAAATATGGCTGCCGTTTAAAAAAGACGCGGTTATTTGAAAATATCATTTGGTGAACGGTCATTTGGGGAACGTTCTCCGATTTGATGGACCGTTCTCTAAATGATGTTGTTGTTCCCCAAATGACTATTTAGTTACTAATTGGTACTTTCTATTACTAACTGTCAATTTTGTGTATGTCGTGCTTACAAAGTTATCAATAGGTATACTAACTTTATTTTTACAGCAATATGGAGTCTCACAAAGCTGAAAAAAACCGTTCGAATAAGCAAATAAAGAAAAACAGTACAGCTTACTTAAAGAAGTGAAGTCTCAGAACCCTACAACTCCCAATAGCAAAGTTAACGCATTGTTAGAAAACGTTGACGTACCTCCTGAAGTGCGCAAGAATCTTTTATTTAACGAAGTGAAATCTTTTATTTGAGAAAAAAATCCAAAGAAAGGGTAGTTTTTCAAAAATGTGTTAGCGGGATTGTGGTAAGGCAATACAAATTGCTTCATAAGGTTAATTGGTTTTTGCCAAAAAAGAAAACCAGTACTATTCTCAAATCTGACGCCAAAATTCATGAGGTTGTTTTGATTAAAGAAGTTCGCGAAAAAGTCAAAGAGTTCTTCCAAAGAGATGATGTCAGTAGGGTGTGTCCAGCCAAGAGAGATTTCGTAAAGAAAAACGGGATTAAGAAGCAGAAACGCCTCCTTTCATGTTCAGTTAAAGCACTGACGTCAAGAGTTTTACTTGGCTGTGTCATCAATTATGAGACTAAAAAAGTGATTTAATTGAGTTAGAATTAAGTTCTTGTTAAGAATAAATCTTATAGCAAATAAATAAATAACAATTACTTCCTATAATTTGGCTTATTATTCAATTTAACTGTGAATTAAACCCTAATTGTCTGCATATCGTCATTTGATGAATGCCCTCATCATTTCGGGAAACACCTCTAAAAACAAAGAAATGCCATTATAACATAAGTTATTTAGGAATAAAGTCTGATAATATTGGAAACAGGCTGAATCCCTATAGCTACCGCAGATTTATTTATATGCAAGTGAGCGATATTCACTTATTTTGTAAATTTAAGAACATGAATAGTCATATAGCTGAATTTACAGCGACATTGTCCTTAAAAACGTTTTAATTCCAAATTTTGTCAAAGTTTTTTAAGTTCGTACTATTGGCGACGTATCTCCGTTATCGTTAAGGGTAAAAATGAAATATATATATTTTTTTTTATTTAATTATAAACTTCCGAATACCGTTCCCCGAATGATTAATTTTAGTGATAGCACACTTAAAAATTGAAATTTCAAGAAAAGTATTTAATTCTATGCTCTGCCAAGGTCAATATAGTTTAACATAAGTTTAGTTATGATTTAGAGTAATTATCAATATATTTAGCTTCTACTCTATAGCATCATAAAACAGAATTCAGTATTTTCCACCTTGGTGATTTTGAGCCACATGTTATAAAGCGGTTTTTCATTAATAATTCAAAAACTATGAGCTTTTACAAAAAACAATATCCTTACCAAAATTGAAGCTAATAAAAAATCAAACAAACCTCACTTTCAAAAACCTTCTAATATTAATTCAAAGTGAGCTATACACATCTCCACGTCACGATGTCTCGTCTACGTCGAACGGTGCGGTAACGCGGCACGGTGCGTAAAATATAACACGAATGTAGGTTATTGTATGTACATTTTTTTCGGCGAGTACTTAAATCTAAGTATTCAAACCTAAATAACGGGAAACCGATGCATTTTATGACATATACCTACTTCCTGAACATTTTTTAAGGTCCTCGGAAATACCTTTCTAATGAGCACTGTAAAAAGTTTATAGCATCAAAATTGAGCAAGTTATGATAAAAATAAGATCACACTTTATATTTTTATTGGAAAAAACGAAAAATAAAACCTTCACCATTTCCAAAAAAAATCTAATTTACGGATATCCCTAAAAGGCTTTTTTATTCTAGCATAAGTGAGTGATGACCTCAAAAATTTTGCCCGGTTCAAAGCCCTTATTTTTAAAAAGATAATGCGTTAAAGGTTCCCGGTTACATGGTTCTCGCAGTAAAAGTTAGGCTTTAAACGTCTCTATCTCGGTTATTTAACATTCTATAAAAATGAAATAAAAACCAAAATAATTGTAAAAAAAGAAACGAAATTTCGTCACTTACCATTTTTACCGATTTTATTAAATCATACTTTTTTTTTTAAAAAAGCATTTTAAACCGGGAAATTTTTTTGAGGTCGTCACTTATGCTAAAAATAAGTAAGTCCTTCAGGGATAACCATTCATTTGAATTTTTGTGGAAATGGTAAAGGTTTTAATTTTCGTTTTTTTTTTCCAAAAAAAAATCGAGTGTCATCTTATTTTTATCATTACTTGCTCAATTTCGATACTTTTAACTTTTTAGAGTGTTCATTAGAAAGGTATTTCCAAGGACTTTAAGAAGTGTTCAGGAAGTATTATATGTCATAAAATGCATCGGTTTCCCGTTAATAAGGTTTGAATACTTAGATTTAAGTACTCGCCGAAAAAAATATACATACAATTTCCTATAGCTCACTTCGAATTAATATTAGAAAGTTTTTCAAAGTAGGGGTTTGTTTGTTTTTTTATTAGCTTTAATTTTGGTAATAATACATTTTTTGTAAAAACTCATAGTTTTTGAGTTATTTATAAAAACCGCTTTAAAACATGTATTTTTATCACGAAAAATCACAATCTTTGGTCTTTAATAACTCAGAAAGTATTGATTTAGTACAAAATCTTTATATAACAAATTTTGGTTAAAATTAATTTTCCTTCCGATTTCTCGAGTTATTTTATTAAAATAATTTTCAGCCCCCGGGAAGTGGTGGCATCTACCCCCAGGGCAAAAGCACAAGTTGGAATTATGTCACTTTTGTTTTTTAATGTATCCCCCACCTACTCACCAATTTTCATGAAAATCAATGGAGGTTCAACGAAATCGGAGGTTGTAGCTGATTTTTGCCTTCATTGACTGGACTAAACTGTACATGTAGTAGCCATGATCAACGGCTATCTCCCCGCATTATTTCTACTACTGGCGCATAGATAAATGATTGGTCTCGCTACACTCCACCGTAGCGAGACCAATCATTTATCTATGTAGGCTACTGACGCTATGAGGTATAACTGTTTACGAATTTATTTATTAAACATTCAGCTTATTATTTCACGTTACGTATTTAAACAAACTTATTATACACAGCTGCTATGAATAGATCGGGAGAAGCGTTTTTGTGAATGGTTTATCGTGTTTCTTTAAAAACATGTCGGTACGTATGAATTTCATTATACACACAACCATTTTTTTAGATACTCTATCAATACTCGACTGGTTATCCCGAAGATCAAGAATCTCGCTCGCATTATCTTTTTATGATAACAAGAAAATTGGCGACCCTATTGCAAACCTGTTCCAGGCGGCCCGACAACGAGCGTAAGTCCTGACTGCATTCCTGAGCGGATCGCCTCCACTTGAGTTGGCGTGAATAGGATATTGTTCCTGAAACAAAGTTTGATTGTTAGCGCACAAGTCACGTTTCTATGACTGTTTAAATTTATGTTTTAAGCCTTTGTAACGGTTGCCTTTACGCACAACGTCTGCTGTTTTTGGGTTATTTTCTCCTTTATCTAATATATCAAATTCTCGTGGAAACGGCTCGACCGATATTCGTGAAATTCTATATGCATATTCAGTAGGTCTGAGAATTGGACAACATCTATTTTTCATCCACCTAAATGTTATGGGTGGTCCCGCACTCTTAATTTTTTTTGTTTTTTTTGTTATTTATTTTTTTATGATACATCATACAAAAATATATAGAACCCTACATATTCAGCCTTCTACCACCAACCCCTATATTTTTATGGCGGTACGTAGTTCGCTGGGACACGTAGTATTTATTATAAAAAATCATTTGCTGTTGGCGGCAGCAGACTTTTGAAAGTCAGAGTGATTACCAAACTAGGAATAGTCAGACACACTGTAGTGGTTTTCTAAGCACATGGCACATTATGCATGAACTCTCAAAGTAGGTACGGTGGAAATTTTTATCCTTATGTTAATGAATATTATCCTATCTATTAGTAATATTTTGGGCACTTCTGGTCAAATACTATTTAATGTATAGCTATCATATTTCAGCAAAATACTATGGCATCCGAGAGCTTCTATGTCTTTTTTTTCAAATATTCAGCGGCCCCAACGTCATGCATTTTTAGCAATTCAATGTTTGCGTAAAATTTATGCTATTGTATTCTTTTATAAAGGTTTTTGGGATTTATGATATTGAGGGAGCACCGCGGCGGAGAAGACTGTGAAAATAAAATATTATAAGAGCATTTTCTACCTGGCCAAACTATTTTTTCAATAAAACCGAGAAGGATTGGAATGGGTTTAAAATATCGACAGTAGAGTCATACCAACACCTCCTAACATAAATACAAATTTAATTTAATAGTTCTTACTCCTAATGGTTAGAAAAATATATAAGTAAGCACTTTACCGTTGTAAAGAAAATGTTTAACCCAAAAAAATGCTACAACCATTAAAAACGCAGACGCAGAGAGTTTCATCCAAACATGCGGAAATGCATGACCCCTCACAGACGAGAGGTTAGAAGGTTATTACACTGCACTGAGAACCGTTGCAGCGTGCGGTGCTGCGGTTTTATCTTATGAATCGCTCCGTACACAAGCGCGCTAGAAGTGTGTTGTAATGTACCAGGTTTGTATCAGTCCAGTCACCGTTAGCTAAATAATTGCGTTTTCTTGTAATAATTTTCATTTTACTGATTTTTTGGTATGTTTTTAAGATATCTCCCAACAGTGTAAACACAAATTTTCAGCTTGGAAAGCTAACTGCGTGGTACCTCAAAGACCTCGAAATTTTTTGGTCTGTTTTCGGCTTCCAGCTTCTTACTTTAAAATGTACAGTGATTTAATACATGGGATGGACCTTTCAAAGTAGACAAAATTTTCCACAATATTAATGCTACTTAAACTTTGCAGGACTGATAGATTTTCAAATACAGCACTTCAGAAATTGGCTATTTTCCCCCAGAATTTGGGAAATTGTAGTCTTTTGTTTTTTTGTGTAAAAAATATGTATTGACAATTAATATTTATTACCACCATTAATGATATGGAATGGTTTTATAGCACTCCTAAATCTAATTCTTGTCACAGTTTGTAAATCATTTGAGTGACTTCTTAACACTGTTGACAAGAATCGATTTTGTATAAATTAATCCACGAAAAACATAAATGTGAAATGAGAGCCATGTGCAATATAATATATAATATATGTGCCTTGATTGTTGATCCTAACGACTAAAATAAGTGAGCTAAAATTGAGGCGATGTAAAACACCTTATAAGTTTCACTTGCATTGCATCGAAGTTTCTTTGAATTATTATGATGACATCATTATTATTGCGTGCTAAATATTGAAATATTAATTAATTCAAAATCTTAGTTATTACGTAAGAAAGACGAAATTCAAGTTTTACAACTAAGTTTATACTTAATTTTGATTGCTGATTCTTACATCACCACACTATTATATTAAAGAGCTCCTAAGCAGAAATCAGAAATCAATATATCTTTATTCAAATTGGATGTATAGTACAACTCTTTTGAATCGTCCAAAAATATTTTTTTCCCTACCACTCGTTATGGACATATTTTTTAGCTGCGGAGAAAAACGAACGAAAAAAGCTCCACAACATTAAAAGTCTAATGTAACAACATTTACAAATCATTATGTTGTTACAAAGTCAATACAATTATGATTTATGTAATATAGAAAACCTGTTGGAATGATTGGAACAGTTCAAACCCAAGCATTTTTGTCTGTAATATAATCAGACACTTTGTAATAAGCTTTTTTAATAAGTGTTTTTTTTATAATATCTTTAAATTTATTTATGGCTAACTCTTGGATATTGCTTGGGACTTTATTGTATAAGCGAACACAAAGACCTTTAAATGAATTATTAATTTTGTGAAGCCTAGTAGCAGGTAAAGTTAGTTTATTTTTGTTTCTTGTATTAATTGTGTGAACATCACTGTTTTTAAGAAACAAATTAATATTTTTTCTTACAAGTAATAAATTTTCGTATATGTATTGTGATGCGACCGTCATTATTCCAAATTCTTTAAACTTACCTCTTAATGATTCTTTAACTTTAAGATTATAAATTGATCGAATAGCTCTCTTCTGCAGCACAAAAATAGTTTGAATGTCGGCGGCATTTCCCCGCAATAAAATTCCGTACGACATTACACTATGGAAATAATTAATAATAGATTTCATTAACTGATAAATTATAATAAAATATAAATTTACTAGTCTCTGATTTATTCATATGTCTTCAACCCAATTATCTACCTGGATCCTTAATTTTAACTTTTTATGTCACCTAGAACTGGGTTAAATTTTTGATCTAAAGGTCAGTCCGTGATTAAAATGAAGATTTTGTACGTTCATATCAAAATAACCGCACCGTATTTCGCAAACATCAATATATGAGCCAAATTTGACATATTTGTAAGAAATATAGTTTTATAGTAAAAGTGGCTCCAAGTGGTTCGTGTATTGAACATTTTCATTTCACACGGTGCTGCTCGCCAGTTTTGTTAGTTTGAACTTGGCTTGATACGCTACCGAATGTATAGATACAAGTAGGTATCACAATGGCACATTGTATGCATTAAAATAAGGATCAGCGAAATATAAAAAAAAATCGAAGGCCGACAAGTAATCAGTAATCGAAACAGTCCTTTTGGTGTTTGATATAATTTTATCACGTACCAGATACGAGGTTAAGGTGGCAAGGTGAATAATAGGTAAATAATAATTAGTACTACAATTTTAGATACTATAGAATAAAAAGGACATTACAAGAAAATATAAAATATGGACTTAATAAAATGATCCACCTGGCATAGTCGGTTAAAAAGAGATGAACGCCTAAATTTTAACAGTGGGATGAAACTAGTGTTGGCGTCTGTATTCATCGACATCAGTCACCGTTGGGGTACAGGCCTTCCCGATGAAGGGAAGTGCGGATTGTTGGGTGCTAACGACTTAGTGATGGAGCCGGCTAAACGTGCATTTCAAAATATGGAGGAGTTTGAAATTGTTAATTTTTTCACACGTGTTCCATGTTCGGCCAATACGATAACTGCTTAATTTCCACGATCGTTGACCGGACGCGCTAATGAAAGGGGGAGAAAACTGACAATTTGTTCCGCCAGAGACGCAGGTGTCGAATACCCTTATCAACAAATTGAGACAGCTGTTACTGTCACAAGAACCGACAAATTTCGATATTGACATAAGGTTCATATATTTTATATCAAAGCTTTTATATCAAATGAGCTTTGCGTATCACCCCATATGCCATCAAGCTCTTCATCGTCTTCATTGACTAAATCCTCTATTACTACAACAACAAAATACTTACTTTTTCGGTTCGTTGTATAGGTAGGGACCGCGTTTTGGTTGAACATGCGGTTCTACTATGATTACTTTCCGTTCTTCGTCTTCGTCCATAGCGCTGTCTCCTAACTCTTGCTTACGAAGAACATTCTCGAAAGTCAACCTGGTGGGTAATGGAAATGAAAAAAATATAAAGGGATTAATTTTATACTAGGCGCGCACGATAAGTTGAGACCCACGAGGAATGTCTCTTCCAGCCCGCTTCCCGCTATTTCAAGTAGATTATAATAATAAAACAAATTTGTAGCTTTAATAATAAAGGATAAATACAAATAAGTATTTATTTTGTAAAGTTTCAACTTATCATATGGAATACTCAACACATAAGTACCTACATAGACTTTTGTTTGTTTGAAAGCGATGGATGATAATGGGAATTCAGTAACGTTACGCCGGCATCATCATAAATAAGACTTAGAACTATGCTTATTTTTAAATACAATGAATATAAACATTTTATGTATTACAGAGCACTGGCTCAGAGATTATGAAATAGTTACAGGCTTAGATAATTATACAGTTGTTAGTAGTTTTTGTAGGAAATCGGCTATCAGGGGAGGCTCTCTCATAATCTTACAGAACAATCTTAAATACAAAGAACGTACAGATATTATTACACTTTCAGTTGAACGTAATATAGAAATATCTTGTGTGGAACTTGAAGAAATGATCATAATATGTGTATATCGGCCCCCATCTGGGAATTACACTCAATTTGAGTCCGCTATGGAAGATGCTTTCAATATAGTATGTAGATGTAATAAAGTGGTTGTTGTGTGTGGTGATTTTAATATAAACATTTTAGTTAAGTGTCCATTAGTGAGTAGGTTTCTAAACTAATTTAAATCATATAACTTGGAGCATACCTTCTTTGAGCCTACCCGCATCACACATACATCAGCGACCTGTTTAGATAATATTTTTTGTAATAGAAATGTTTTTAATAAATCAATAATAAATTGTATTAATTCTGATCATAGCGGACAATTAGCCTCTATTGAACACCATCATGCTTCACCCAAACATGACCTAACTTAAAGACCAATTACACAAACGGGTATAAATAAATTTCAAGATAGCGTTTATCACAAAATATCGTACTTACCAGTTTGTAGTAATAATAATATTTTGTATGAAGATTTATTCAATTTAATTAAAGATGAATTTAATATAATATTCAAACGCAAAGTTATTAAATGCCATAGCTTTAAAAAGAAATTTAGTGATTGGGCCACACTGGGTATTTACAAAAGTAGAAATAAGTTGTATCAATTATATGCTCTCAAGGCAACCTCATCTGATCCTAAATTTATCGAATATGTCAAAAACGATTCAAAAACTTTTAAAAAGGTGTGTGCCATAGCAAAAGCTAAGTTTTTATCTAAAAAAAATAGTCTTTCCGATAATAAAATAAAGACAACTTGGAATATAATTAATAATGAAACTGGAAGAAATAAATTTAATGAACACACATATTCTTTAAAAATAGACAATAAGATTATTAGGACAGATGATGCCGTTGCAAACACTTTTGAAAATTTGTTTCCTAGTGCACCATTTGAAACAACTAGAAATCTTAATTCTTGTTCTAGGTTAGCAATGACCCTCCTTGAGTCAAGTGTTGATAAGTGCAGTAATGATTTTCATTTTGGACATATCAGTAGTGATTGTATTATAAAAACTTTTAACTCAATTAAAATTAAAAAGACAGAGGATTATTGGGGAATATCAACATATATAATAAAACCGATTATCACTGTTATTGCGCCACAACTGGCCATTATATTTAACAAATGTATTGATGAGGGAGTGTTTCCAGATCTAATGAAATGTGCTAAAGTTATCCCTCTCTTTAAGGCTGGTGACAAATCAGATCCCAGCAATTTTAGGCCTATATCTGTATTACCAGCGCTAAGTAAAGTATTTGAGAAAATAATTTATAACCAATTACTAGCACACTTTTCTATAAATAAGCTATTTCATTTAAAACAGTTTGGTTTCACTAGAGGCAAAAGTACTACTGATGCTGGAACTGCACTTCTCAAACACATCTTTGATATATGGGAGAGTAAGCACAGTTTTTGCGACTTATCAAAGGCATTTGACTGCGTTAGCCATGAAACATTGTTAAATAAAATGAAGCATTATGGTGTATGAAATATTTCACTAAGTCTGATACAGTCTTATCTTTCTGCTAGGATTCAGATAGTAGTTATAAATGAAGCTAAGTCTACAGGAGCACCCATTTCTATGGGCGTGCCCCAGGGTTCAATATTGGGCCCATTGCTTTTCCTTATTTATATCAATGACCTTCCTCACTTTACAAGAGATTTATGTGAGACAGTACTATTTGCTGATGACACCTCTTTATTGTTTAAAGCTAGAAGAGGAAATGATTGTTATGACGAAGTAAATTGTGCTCTCTCTGAAGTCCTTCACTGGTTTACGGTAAATAATTTAAAACTTAACTCTAGTAAAACAAAATGCGTTAAGTTTACTCTACCTAATGTGAGGCAGGTTAATACCAGTATAAAAATAAATGACCAGTCTGTAGAGTTAGTGGATTCTACAAAGTTTCTGGGTATTACTTTAGACTCTCGTCTGCAATGGGATCCTCATATTGATGCCTTGTCAAGTAGATTGAGCTCTGCAGCTTTCGCTGTTAAAAAAATAAGACTCTTAACTGATGTGGAAACGGCAAGATTAGTTTACTTTGATTACTTTCATAGTGTTATGTCATATGGCCTTTTGTTGTGGGGCTCAGCCGCTAATATCGAAAGTATTTTCATACTGCAAAAGAGAGCTGTTCGCGCCATATACAATTTAAAGGCAAGAGAATCCCTTAGAGAAAAATTTAAATAAATTAATTCTTTAACACTGGCGTCGCAATACATTTATGAAAATTTAATATATGTAAGAAAAAACTATGATGAATTTGCAAAAAAAAGTCAAACCCATAACTTTAACACGAGATTTAAAAACAAGCTTGCCGTTCCATGTTTCAGACTCCAAAAATCAAGAGGTTCATTTCTGGGTTGTAGTATTGCATTGTTTCCCAAAAGTTCACAAAAACAAAGTTCCCCAAGATCTGATTGAGCTTCCACTAACCAAATTTAAATCTCGGATCAAGAATTCTCTTATGAGTAAGGGCTATTATAAAGTTGATGATTATCTAAATGATCGTAATGCATGGACACAGTGTTTCTTATAATTTGATATTAAATGGGTATTAGTCATTTTTCATAACAGTAATATTGTACCTATCTAATGCCACTTCCTATATACTACATATAATGTTAACTATAAAATTAATTGTAACTATATATTTATATTGTAGATGATGTAATGGAAAGTGACTTCAGACGTATTTCTGAAGTAATTTTTCAACTTGACGACACTGTATATAACAATACAGGGAGAAAAAAACAGCCCTTGCTGAGTTTCTTGTCGGTTCTTCTCAGTACAAGGTCTCCCGCCGTAGTTTTGCGAACCGATGGCGTAGCTTCTTGACCTTTACAAGTGCTTGTAACAGCCTAGACTGAATAAATGACATTTCATTTCATTTCATTACAAAAGACCACCTTACAGAAGACTACAGTATAATAACACTACCTTTTGGTGGTGTTGTGTTTCTGCTAGTGTGTAGGGTCTCAGGGGTTTTAGATTTAAGTTCAGGTCGGCAAGGTGAGGATGGCTGGAACGGCACACTTTCTGCCACATAGCCTATCTTCACGAATGGATTCCACTGCCACTTAATATCAGGTGGGGTGGGGTAATTTGTTGTGCCTCGTATAAAAAAAGAACAATAAACTATAGTAGCAGACTAAGGTTTCTTGATGAAATATAAAAATAAAAGGTATCTACAAATTCAGCTACCAGTTTTATCAGAACTTACTTGAAAGGCCGCACGAGTTTGCGCGGGTCGTTGGTGTTAACTTTGATCTCATAGCCGGGGAAGCTGTTCCGCAAGTGTTCCATGTCCAGGAACGTATCGTTGAAGTCTAGCGTCGGTATTTCATTTGGCATCCTGTTAAATTGAACATCGTTGGTATTGTATAGAATTATAGTACCTACTTTATGATAAATTTTAAAAGGTTCACACAAAGGAGAACCGTTATTTTTATAGAAAAAACGGCAAAGTGCGAGTAGGACTCGCGCACCGAGAGTTCCGTACAATACATTACATTTTACTAATTATTAAAAAATATTTTTAAATGATGTAACCAAAAATTTACGGTTTTCGCAATTTTTTCTTTATCTGTACTATAAGACGTTACTTCGTACCAAATTGCAAGATTCTAAGTTCACGGGAAGTACCCTGTAGGTTTTGATTCCCGTGCGAGTTGAAATTTGGGGCATAAACGGCTGTATCTTTTGATTGCTTTGGCTTAGAAGTTTGATTTTTTCACAGCTCCAAGGGACAGTAGACCTGAGTATTAGATATGAATTTCAGTTCGGTATCTCCACGCGTTCCTGAGAAAAATGGTCTTGACAGACGGACGGACGGACGGACGGATAAGAAAGTGATCCTATAAGGGTTCCGTGTTTTTCTTTTGAGTTACGGAACCCTAAAAGTAATTAACATGTACACAATTGAATTCGGTCTCCTCCATGTTTCCTCAGTTAAATAAAATGAGTAAATGAAAAGATTATATTTCATATAATTGTGTTATCTTATCACACGGTCTCGTTGATAAAGCTCTGAATAAGCATCTTTGAAAGTAAATCAAACGAGCCCTGTTTGTTGTTACAGTTCTTGGATTATACAATGACTGAATTGTATCGACGCTATTAGGCCAACACATGTTCGAGATACAATTTTTTATTATTTAATACATAAATATACCGATTTTCAATGAGACGATGATTTTTCAAGTCCTACAAAGGCATCTGAAAGCGTACACTTATAGACATTTCGGAATAGAGTAAGATCCCAAGGCCGCCACACCTAACTTACTTTCTGATGGACAAAATATGCAGAATCGAGTATTATTAGTGTATACAATGAACGTACGTACGTACTCATACTCACTAGCTTGTGCTGCTGTAGGCTAATTTTCAGGTATCAGGTGGCATGAGTAAGTAAATATTTTACTCACTTTCACTTACAGCCTGAGGACTGATTATTATGCCTAGACCAGGCGGAACCCATCTCCTTTACAAGTAGGGTTACCAACTTCTTTTCTATCAAATATAGTATTTTAAATATTAGCTTTATTTTCGAAATTAATGTATTTCTGCTGCTCTATGCCTCAATAATATTAATTTTATTTTTAAGGTAGCTTTTACTGGCATATAGATATATGCCTTAAAGCAGATGCTTTAAGCAAAAGATAGTAGTTTCGCCTACTATATATTTTTATAAGAATTTAGTATTTGATCCCCTAATAAAGTAGGATACTATATTATACAGTAGGGTTGGTCACCCTATTTATAAGCGACCTAAACGCTAACAAACGTAAGCCACTGATCTTGGCTCGGCTCTCTGAGCGATTTTCAGTCGATAAACGTTTGCCTGGGATTTAGCCTTCGCTAATCTTACTTAGTCCGATGCATACCTATATTCTTTTTGTCAATGCCCAGTAACTGATAATTTCAATAGAATAAAACCATCAACAGCTAACCATCACTTTCTCTACTTAATGTTGGTCTTTTTTCTAACAATTTACATGCAATTACGTGTATAAGATTATAGTTAATTAAAAGTTACCTTGTATAGTGTGCCTGGCCAGGGTCTCCATAGCCCAAAACTATGTCATGCAACCATTCGGGCACAACGCATTCAGTGTTCATAAGTTCCCTTATGGTTTCCAATACTGCTTTGAAGTTATTTTCTTTGGGCTTCCGTCGCATTACAATGTTGAATGTTTCATAGACATCCTGAACAAAGAATAAGTCATGCCATTGTAAAGGCAGTTAAAAAGACAATACCTAAATACCTTCACTGTGACAAAAGCGGAAACCGTCGAAAATTTAAAGCATTTGCCCCGACGATGAATGAGAAGCGAGTAGAGAGAATCTAGAAACGAGTTGGCCAGTAGCGGGAAGCAAGAGTTTTGGTAGTTTATCGCTAGGCTATAGGCGATTGTGCGGGCGATTACTAGCGCCACTCACTCGCGCAGACAGTCCCAACAAAAATGCACACGGGTGCGTTGTGACCACCAAGCGTGCAATGCTGAGCAATTGTCGTTGAGCCAGTATTATCTTTCATAGCTCTTGTTGCTCAGCGACAAACTAGTGGAGCGTGTAAACTGTCAGCGATCAACTTTTAACATAATATGCATCTCTTTTTGTTTACACAATTATTAAATGTATTATAAGTTTATTTTTTTTATATCTCTCTCTCTCTCTTATGTTTTGTAAGTTTCTTGATAGAAAAAAATTGCCGGTCGCTTTCTCGTCGGCCGCGGCGGTGGTACAACTGCCGTATCGTATACAAAAGGCCATTTGAAAGTATGAAAAATATAGTACTTATAATGGCATGCGTATATATCATGGATATTGGAAACGATTTCAGTATTCTCACAAAAATGAAACTTAGTTAGTAGTAGACAGTAGCAGTAGTATTTAGTACTTAGTTGTTAATATTACTAAAAACAAGAATTACTATTACTATTTTTTTTAGTTTTTACGTAAGTAGGACGTCACTAGGTTTTGCGGAGCTTAAAATGACGTCACCGGCTTGTAAACATGATGTCGAAGTTAATTAATTTGTACTGTTTGACGTTTTAATGACAGCTGTGTAAAGTCACATGTCTTCAAAACGTCATATTGACTAGAGAAAACGTTTTTCGAGCCATATTTTTCAAAAACTAGTTAAATAGCCTATTTTCATGAACGTTTTCCTCCATCATCATCAGCCTATTGAAGTCTCCTGCTGCAGCAGAGGCCTTCTTTATGAATAGAACAGAAAGATTGGACAATGACCTACTATGCGGCCCCATGCAGATTGGTTGGTAACTACTGACGACTGCAGAGTAGCAAGGACCAACGGCTTATCTTGCCTTCAGAACCATGGAGGACATTAAGACAATATTTTTTATCACTCATCATATCTCCGGCCATTGCGAAAGTAGCGATAACTTCCACGAACTCAGGCTGAATGCGTTAACTACTGGACAATCGAGCTTCTCCTTACTATACAGTATAAGAAACAATATGTTATGTAGAAATATGAAATCTAGTTCCATATTCATTATGGAGAATCAGAAACGGGGTCAAAGGAGATTGCTTAGCTTCCATACATGTTTGGCCTAAAGACCAATAATCATGAAAAATTGTTTCCTAGATTCGAAATTATATATAAATTACTGTAGAAACGAATATTATTGACGGACACCCCTGAGAACTTCTATAAACCATATACACTGAACATATTAAAATAATAAAAAACAAATAAGTTATATAGTAAACTAGGGAAATCAAGCCAAGTACCGAAATTATGGATTAGATTCAGGTATAAAGAGCATGTAGATTAACAGATAGTTGCCTATTTTTAAAGTGAATGCATAAGAGTAACTTTTAAAATCAGGTGTCATTTCCGGTTATAATAAGATACTCTGTGACAGAAACTGTGTGATGATTGTGAATGAGCCACAGATTAGAGAGAATTTTTAAACTCTAGTTAACCAAAGAAAGCTAAGAGATTTAGGTTCTATAGCCGTATGTTCAGTAGCTTCAATATTTTTGTTATGTTTTTAAGATAACCATATTTTAGATATTATGTGTATCACACCTTATAATTTTATTTATTTATCAATTTATAGTCAGGGAACGTAGGCCCATAGATTGATACCTTAAAGTCTAACATATATACAGATTATAATGTGTTTATGGAGGTGTTTGGCGAAAAATGTATGGCAATAGACTTTATGATGTCGCCTACCATCTATAATAATTGCCTGAGCACATTTGCATCTAGTGAAAATGATAATATAGTGGTGGATATTAATACCACAGTGTAATAAAAAAATGATTTATTTTATCGATCTTTACAAAATAGATTTGTTTTTATGTTATAAACAACTTCGATCAGTCTTTGGCTGAATGTTACTACACCCATAGCCATTACAAATGATTCGTATGTTTTCCAAACCGGTAATATTATAAGTCCTTTTTAAAGTAAATATATTATACAAAGGTTCCGTTGAAATCTAATGACTGTAAATTAAATTGTAAATTACGCCAAGAATTACCGTGTATGTCAATATTTTTTGTGCATTTAGGCCAATTTGAGCAATCTCCTTTAATGATCGTTCTTCTTCTACTTCTACACGATCATACGCTAAGTGCGGATTCATTGATGTGCAATCTCACTTACAAATGCTTTGATTTAAGTATTTCAAAATCAAAGTTCAGCACTCTTATTTTCATAATTTCCTATATAAGATTCAACGTCTGTACGTCTATGAGTTTCATAGCAGCCTAGATACTAGATACGTAAGTTATTACATCATCATGCATGACATGACCAAAACTCAAAACATGTTCAACAAAAACTTGAACGAATGAATTAATGAAACTTAGCAGGTGTTGGATCATTTGCTATTTTCTTTGATATACCTAGTAATTTTTTTTCCAAGTGTTTACCAGGGAATTTGCAAATTTTTGAGCTCACTTAGCATATACACGTTACCTATCAATACAATGGTTGCGCAACCTCAACATTAGCTACAGTTCAGTGCAACTTGTGAATAATTCAAAATTAAATTGTGGTTTACGTCACCAACAGAATAGAATCGTATATTATTAACGATTTTACGGTACCACGGTGTTTAATGCTGACACATATACTCTATACATATAAATAAAATTGGATTGTCTGTTTGTAATATTGAAATAACCGCTTTTTACTATATGCATATTAATAAATATACGGTACATACACCAAAATATCATTTTTGTCTGTCTGTCTGTTTGTGCCGGCTAATCTCTGAAATGGCTGGACCGATTTTGACGGGATTTTTATTGGCAGGTAGTTGATGTAATAAGGAGTAACTTAGGCTACTTTTATTTTAGAAAAAAACTTTTATTTTAGAAGTAATGTTGCAATGTTCAGTACCGCGCGCAGCTCACGCGCATGCCGCCACTGTGCCGTCTCGTCGGGCGCCTCCCACCACTTCTCCCACGAACGAATCAATATCACAAAGGCTGCCTGTCTGACGGTTGTGTCTCCACGACTTCATTTAGAAATTGATTTCCAGTGCTTATATCATACTTTTGAATGATAGGTATCTTTTATAATTTCACCGATCCAGGTTTTTGAGAGATGAAAAAAAACTAAAGTTATCGCGGACGAAGTCGCGGGCGGCCGCTATTTAGTTATAATATCAATATGTCATCACTGAGTAGGTGTAATATGATCAACATATATAAATATATCATCATGATTTAGTCTATTAGCTTTTAATATTACATTATATTTCGTTGACTCTTCCTCAGAGTCATAACTTAATATTATGTTTGGCAAAAAAATCACACGAAGTTGAAGTTTATTTAAATTAAACATTTATGATGACATTAAACTAACTGAAATGGTTTATTGTTTGCCTTTACCGTAAGAAGTTTATAGATGATCTAATATAATAACTATCCTAAAAGCAAATATTGGGCATTTACTATTTTACTTTTTGATTATTAATTTTATTATGAATCGACACCATTGTATGATTATTATTGATTATTGGAATATTGTGAGAAAACAAATTTTTAACATTGAACATTTATTTTTAACATTTTAATGGATAATTTTATATTTATTGACATTGTATAATATTGATAAAATGATCTTGGCATGATATTGATAAGCTGACAAGCATTACACTTTAATTTTAAGTTGATTTAAAAACTGTTGCATGCTGTTTAGCAGTAAAATATGTGAGACATGAAAATAATCAAACACCTTTTATACCATATTTTTATGCAATAAATTATTATTATTATTATTATCGACGAATGGAACGAATCGAAAACATGATCTTAGCCAAACCAGACAAAGGAGTGAGGAATCAATGTGGCGGTGGTTTATTGCGATTTAAAATTACATTATCTCTTTATTATCACTACTGGATGCAAAACAAATCGGTTTTACGTATTTCGAAAATTATGACAGTGTTTTTAAATTTAAAAATGTTCAATAGGAATAAATTGATTCGTTGCATAATGCGAGGCTGATTTTATAAAACAAAAACTACTACATTTGTCTATGCTAGCTATATCACGGCCTGGTAGCTTATTCAGGTACAATTGAAAAAAAAAAGAAAAACTGATTCTGGAGATGAGTCTAGTGATGGAGACATTAGAAAACTAATTCTATTTTAATACTTTGCATCGTAAAATTTTATACTCAAGTCATAAGACATATGCAGCACTAGGTATGTTGTCTGTGGGAGTAGCTGTACGCGTCAATAGTTTTTATGAAGGAACGGCGCCAGCGGTTTTATCACGTAACCATAATGCCTTTTCCATACCTGCGTGACAAAGCTTTTAGTCCAGTCAATGAAAGCTTAACTTTGCCATTTTGAGTTGATCACCTGCAACCAACGCGAAAATTTCCGCAAGGGTTCGTAGATTAATATACTAAAATTGCAGGGTGCTGCATTGACGGCAAAGGGTGAAAAAAAAATGCGAAATGGTGCAAAAACGAGTTTTTCCTCAATATCTCGCGACTGGCTGGAAAAATAGAAAAAGTTCCTAGTACAAAGTTGTAGAAAATTTAATTTCCTACAAAAAAGGTATCAACATATTTTCGCGTATCTCCCATAGTTTTTGCACAAAATGCAATTAAAGGTGCAAAATAAAAAAATAAAAATTAATCGTTTTTTTTATTTTAAAAGGATCCTACGGGTCTAATTCAGCAATCACCACTTACTGATATATTA